ATATTTTTTAAATATTTTTAAAATGTTTTATTATTATTATTTTTGTATACAGTTTTAGTTTTTATAATTTTTGATTAGGGGAAATCCTTAAATGTTTAAAAAAATTAGGGGGGCTGCGCAGTGTCTCCCGCATGCGGCATGACGCCCTCTTGCGCCGGCATCCCCTTGCGCCGGCATCCCCTTGCGCCGGCGCCCCCCTTGAACCGGCGCCCCGGGCGACCACCCGGGTCGCCCACCCCTCGCGCCGCCCCTGGCTCTGTTCCCTTATATTTCTATGTCCATGCATAGTACAATCAGAGAGGATCCGAAAGCGGACATGCCGGCCTTTTGGCTGTAACGCTAAAATCTCTTTGTACACTATCGCCCTCTAAAAAAATGGATCCAAATTACATAGCAAAATCAAGATTTCTGCACAATTTGTGGTGCGTGTCTGTACTAAATTCACTTTTTGAGTCTGCTGGAGCTTTATTCTCGAATTGGAATTACGCATTAAAAAGTATATTTTCTTACTTTTTAATGCGTAATTTTTCAAAAATAAAGCTCCAGCAGACTCGAAAAGTGGATTTAGTACGGACACGCACCACAAATTGTGCAGAAATCTTGATTTTGCTATGTAATTTGGATCCATTTCTTCAGAGGGCGATAGTGCGCGAGGGCATTTTAGCGTTACAGCCAAAAGGCCGGCATGTCCGCTCTCGGATCCTTTCTGGTATACAGTATCATGAAGTAAGAGTAGAAGAGACTCAACTTAATAGGGCGCGAACAGAAAAAGTAGGATCGGTTTATGCGCCGAATTGGGAGGGAGTCCGCTGAACGGATTTACTTACAAACAAGGGAACCTCACCGGTATAAAGCCAGCTGTCGAACTAACGATTTCAATAATTTCGAATACGTCATTTGATTGCTAGTCGTTTGCTAATTTTTGCAGCTATTTTTATTTTGTTTGCATATTAATTATTTTGGGTAAAAAAATCGAAAATAAAATTTGCACAAGTGTAACAGGTGTAACTGCCATTTGAAACCTCTATCTCATAATTTCATAAATATTTCGGTGCTAAAACGTTTGCTAGTAATTTGCTAGATCCGTATATACAAGTATTTTTCCTATTTTATCAATAAATTGTCCCATATTTTATTTATTAATAACTTTCAATAATTTAGTAACTGACGCCAACAAGAACAGCGCATGCGCATCGAGTTGCCTAAAAATAACCAAAACTAAAGTTATTAGATTATTGAAAGTTATTAAAAAAATTTGGGACTATTTATCGATAAAATAAAAAAAATACTTGTATATACAGATCTAGCAAACGACTAGCAAACATTTTAACACCGAAATATTCATAAAATTATGAGACAAAGGTTTCAAATGGCGGTTACACCCGTTACACTTGTCCAAATTTTATTTTTCGATTTTTTGCCCAAAATAATTAATATGGAAACAAAATAAAAAGAGATGCAAAAATTAGCAAACGACTAGCAATCGTATTATTGAAATTATTGAAATCGTTAGTTCGACAGCTGGCTTCATACCGGTATTACATTCCGTACTTTAAGGTTAGCGAATATCTAGTCTTTCGGGAATTATCGGATATACAGCGGAAACACCCGATGAGGTCCTATCCGAGAAAGAGACAGCACTACACCCCCCTTACCGCGGAATAAACACCCGAATTACCTTGCGCTTCATTCATAGATTCAGATTTATGGAGAGAAATGTACGATTAGCATATCCTCGTGAAGTTAGCCCGCAAGATGGAAATTTCTGAACGATCAATAGCTCAAAATAATGCTCCTGATTTGCTCCATCCATATTGATAAATATAAAAAATTGCTCTCTTTTAGTTTTATTTTAAATTCCAAAAAACGATTTTTTACGAAAAACGTCCATAACTTTTGATCTAATTGATATTTTTGAACAAATGAGGTCTCAAAATTTTGCTCCAAATTTGCTCCGTTCGGAGCAATAAATGTTATTAATTGGTTTTTAATAGTTTCTTTTGTAAATTAAAAGAAACGTTTTTGTGATAAATCTAGGGACTTTTCATCGAAAAACGTCATAACTTTTTGTCAAAGTGGTATTTTGCAATCAATAAGGTCTCAAAATAATGCTCCCGGTTTGCT